GGGGGGGGGCCTCCCGCGGCCTTTACGTTACTGGTTCTTAGTTAAAATAAGCGACTTTTGTAAAAAGCCAGAAATAAAACCCATCCTTGTGGAGCGTGCGCTTAATTTTGGGTGGCGTTTGGAGTTTTTTTGGTTAACTTCATGTTATAGCCGGTACAACATCATCACTGCCGGAGACCTAGAGCAGGGCCTGGGTTTGTCTGAGCAGTGCCGAGCGCTGTGGCGCGGTGAGGAGGCTCCCCACAAGGGGAAGCTGGTGCTTCAGCCTTCTGGTTAATACTGCAGGGTGAAGCTGCCGGCGCAAACTCTGCCCTCTGAAAGCACCCTGGTGGTTCTCGTTTGGGCCCAAGGAGGTTGTTTATGGAGCCCTTCTGTCTGCGGGGTCCTCCGGTGGCTGCCGGGCAGGCAGCTTGCTGTCTGAAGGGAGCACTGGCCTTTGCCCCTTCGAGGAAGACTGCCAAGATTTAACAGCGAAAATGTCAGTATTAAAGTATTTTTTATAATTAAGAAATGTGTCGGCTTAGTGTACCCACAATGGTGACTGTGTTTTTAAGTCACGGTTAATTTATAGGGAAAATAAAAGCTTAGTTATGCTTATAGGTGGCAATTTTATAATGAATAGGAGTTTAATGCTAGAGAAGCAGTACTTGATCATTTAATATTATCATATCTTGACTGTATGACTGTTACGGTGGGAGATTGTGTTTTAACATCTATTTTTGGTCTAACTTAGGCTGAATTGGTAATTAGGATAAATATAAAATGAGTTAGAATTTCTTCAGTGGTCCATAAAAAAAAATTGAGTATTAGTACATCCACGTCTAGTAAATCTTGTGTACACTTTCTAATTATTCTTTGTGCTAAAAGCAGCCTTTGTGCTCTTTGCAGAGTGCCTGGCCTAGTAAGTTTTGGTGTATGCTTTGGCCTCTTAAGTAATGTCAAAGGTCTACAACTCCCAAGGCCCTTCAGGTTTATGATTACCTAAGTATTTTTTGGGAATGTGAATGACCTTCAGCAGCTTTCAGAATTTAATCCACACACTCCTTCCAAAAAAGGATTATTTTATTTTTTTTTGGAGCACCTATTTCTTCAGTTAATGAAATAATCTTGAAGTTTTTTGTCTTGTAAAACTGCCTGTAGAACAGCGTGCCTAAAGCACTCTAATTAGGTAGCTGACAGCTGCATAATTACCAATGTTCAGACTATTTTTCTTCCCAACCTAAGGTAGTACTTCTATTTTGGAGGTAACCATCCTTAAATAATATATGTGAGGTTTCACTGTAAATTCCATGTTTATTTTCAGGCTGAATATGGATCCACAAATGCTGATGCTGTAGCTAACTTGTTACCTGTAATGTCTCGGTCGTGGGTTCTGCTGTGATACCCTTCCTAGGTTTGCCTGATGTTTGTGAATATAAATTACCTGAAGGGCTGTTAAATGAGCTGGGAGTAAGGGTTGCAGTCATTTGTTACCATAATGGAATTTTAGTTGAAGAAACTTGGAAATAAACCTACCTCCTGAGAGCGATGCAGCAGACAAAGGTCTGCACTGTAGATTTTGTTTCTGGCTGTATTTGTGGGTGTTTGTGCAATGCTGCTCGCCACGGAGAATCTCTGGAATATTTCCAGACTCCAGGATCCATGTGAATTTACTGGTGAGTGAAGGATGCCAGCAAGACATCCCTAACTTTCCACATTCATCCAAAGGCTTACGTAAATCAATTTTCCAGTGTGCCTTTGGTGCTAGCTGCAGCTGGGCCAAAGCCTTTGAGTCAAGGACTCTGGCAGGGTGCTGCCTGCTCTGCCAGCTCACGTATGTGTATTGATCTGAGGTGGTTTAACCCTACCGCAAAAGGACAAATTGTTTCTCAAGTCTGAATTCTAAAGGCTTTTATAGTTGCTGACTGCTGCACCTGATTCTTGCTACTGTCAGGCTAGAAGTAGGGTGCACACTTAGAAATGCTACGTTTGTTTCTTCAACTCTGTAGAAATGTCTCAAGAAGAGATGGAAGTTGATCCCCAACCAGTGGCTGATCACGCTGTAGAGAACCTCGGGACGCTTCCCACAGAGCCCTCTGGTCACGCAGCGCTGTTGTCTCATACTCCGGTGCTCGGTGAAGGAGGAAGCAGTATGACGCTGTTGTCATACCCAGCGCTGGTACAACACGGGAAGCAGCTGCTGAGCCTGACCAGCAGCAGGGTCCTGCCTCGGCTCTCGGTGGACTACAGAGGCTACAAGGGGCATCTGATCCTTCTCGGCTGTTGCCTGTGTCGCAGGTCACGCAGCGGCCGCGAGCGAGGAGAGCTCGCCGGCAACAGAGAATTGGTGGCTCCCAGAGGACAGTTGGTGCCAGGTAAAGCAGAGATGAAACTGGGTCTGAACTGCACTCTTGTCAAGTCTCACATCAGTTTAAAACTGCCTTGCTTCCTGGCATACGGAGCCCTGCTCTGTCCAGTTGTATGACTGGCTGATTTCTGGACACTTTGTATATTGACTAAGCTCAACAATAGCACAGCGGGCACTGATCTCTTCTGGCTGGCTCTTGTCAAGTGAATCTCCCTGCTTGGCTGTGGTGGTGGTGTCTCCTGAGCCCTTCCACAGTTTCTATCTTGCTTGCAGGGCTTCTGTTCCCACTGTTCCCTCTGCTCTGCTCTGCCAGGTTCCTGTCAGTGCTCCCTGCAGCAGAGCTGACTCTAGGCAGCATTTAGCTCAGTGGAGCTTGTGCTCTGTTTTGCATTTCACCTTTGAATTGGGGATTGCCTCATTGTTTTCTGGTGACAATTGCTGCAGAAACTTTGACTAACATGCGAACTAAAATTTTTCTGTAGGTTGGGGTTTTTTTGTTGTCTCCAGGCAAAGAAAAAAATATTCTGTGTTTAAAACCATTTGTGATAGGTTTAAAGAGTGATAAGTGGCGATGCTCTCCAGCCAGAAAGAAATCCCCACTTCTGGTTTGTTTGGTTCTTGTCTCATCTTTGTAGATTTTGTAAATGCCAAGGGTGAGGTTATAATTTACTGGAGCATTGCCTTTAAATTCAGTGAGAGCAAGAACTCTCCTCCCAGATGATTAAGCATAACTGTACTGTGTGCTCTTGGATTGTGTGTGAAGGTCACTGGAGCTCTTGGGGCTAGAGGGCAACCTGACAGACTCCTCTTTAGAATCTGAAGGATAATTGAAACAATAGCTAAACTGATGGGGGGAGAGGGGAGGATGTTTTCATCCAGGGATGAAGTTCTGGTAGAAAAGAAGGGGGAAAGTAGAAAGATTAGGCACAAAATAGTTGATGGAATGAGACTGACACAAGCCTTGTGAATCTAATATTAACCAGTAGCTTTGGGAACCATGTCTGAGGGTTTTAAGTTCCTTAGGCTATTAGTGAGCAATACTTATGTTGTCTTTGCTTTTCTTCTCCCCAACCCCACCCCAAAAGAAGACAACCTTGTAACAAGGAGGAGTTTTTCTTTGAGCTGAGCAAAAATGAACGGTTGCTGTGTGCTGCTGCTGCTGCTCTGTAAAGTGGGATTGTTCATAAAGGGTATGGGATTGCCCCCCATACCAGAGAAGGTCTGTCCTGGTAACTTGAATACCTTCCTACTGCAGTCAGACTTGTATGAATTGTACTGCAAACAAGTGTGGAGAAACATGCTGAGTCTTTAACAACCACAGCCATTTCAGGTAAACTAATCCTTGTTTTTCTGGACTCAGGGCAGCACTGGACAGTTACTTTCAACACAGCAGGACCCAAGAGCCAGCTACAGGACCAACCCCACATCTGGAGCCCTCTCGCACTGCAAGGGACAACCAGGAGCACAGCTTAGATGCAGTAATAGAAGTGAGTGACTCTGACAGCAGCACCTCTGAGGAGGAGGAGGAAGCTGTGGAGGCTGCAGCGCCGCTGTTACCGTCGGCTCAGGAGACACCTCCAGCAGGTAACTCAGGAGGCTTGTGCTGTATTTGAGCTGTGTAGAGGCTGATTTCAGAAACTCAGTGGGGAAAGAAAGCCTTGTGAGCTGCACAACAGTGCTAAGAGATCATTATGCCCACAGTTGATGGTAGCAGGTTGCTACCACAAGGCTTTCTGGCAAGCAGCTCCTAAGAGCGGTGGCAGCAGCAGTGGGTGATTGCTAGCGTAATATTACAGTCTTTTTTGCTATTTGCAGGCTGCTATTTGTAAATAATCCTAGAAATGTTCAGAATAACTTCAAGTTTAGATTATTATTTAGCACACTTCCACTGTTATGGTATCAAAGAGTATTATTGAAGACATCAAGTCGCATCTCTGGAGATCAGCAGTGCTTTCAGTTTTCAGAGAAGGATCCAATTCAGTATTTTTTAATTTGTGATTTCAGTCTGCTTCAGTTTAGAGTTTTCTTTTTATTCCTGTAACTTCCTGTGACACCTAGCTGAGGAGGCAGAGATAAGACAATTTCTTTTTATTCCTGTAACTTCCTGTGACACTTAGCTGAGGAGGTAGAGACAAGACAGAGGGATTTTTGTTTGTCTTTTTCTTTCCTCGGCTTTTCCTGGCTTGCAGTACTTTATCCAGACTCGCGTTCACAGGCTGCCACACACTTCAGTGACATTGTTTGTGACAAACATACGCAGTTTATGTAAGAGTGGCACATGGTTATCTTTCTAGTCAAGGTTATTCATGCCCAGAGAATATGTGAAAGAGATTCTTTTTTTTTTTTCTTCAGTCTCTAAGGGCTGTCTTTATGCTTCACTCTCTGCCCTTAGTTTTGTTTTTGATTGGCCAGCCCACCTTGGCACCTCTTTTTGAGGGTACATCTATGAGGTGTCTTTTGAATAGATTCATTCTGCTTGCTCTGAGCTAGTCTTGCACGTGACAGGAGCTCAAGCTGTTAAGTACTGCCTAATATTGTGTGAACATATGCTCTCTGTAGGGTCTACTGGAATTCCCTTGTCTTTTTTGCTTATATAAGGCACTAGTTCCTGTTCAGCCCAGAACCATAGAGGCTAAAAACTGTATTGACATTAGCCAGGGCTAGGTGATACCTCTACTGGATTGAGACTATCTGCCTCAACTGTGACTAATAATTCTTTTGTTTTCTGAAGGCTGATTTCTGCTCCTTTTTTAGTATGCTAGTGGTGCTAATCCAAATGTAGGGTTCTGTGTGCCCATGCTTCAACAGCAAGGCTAACAGAGGCCCACCACAAAAGCATATGGCCTAGCAGAATGGATAGTTGGGATAACTACCAGCTGGAAAACTGCTTTTGTCAGGGTGAATGGACAGAGAGCATACGGTAAATGCTTTGTTAGCACATGAAATATGCATGCTTAGATCCCTTGGCAAAATAACTTCTGCATATTGGTTTGTCTTTCTCCGGGTGTAGTGATGCAAGGGTGTAACCCTGCATCAGCCTAACTACAGATCTGTATGCAGATATATTTGTTTCCAGCAGGTCAGAAAATCCTGGTAACAATTCCCATCTTTAAAAGACATCTCCTTTTTCACTGAAATTCTGCTGCTTTTTTAATAAAAGAAAACAAAGTTCTTTAGCATTAGTGTTGATTAATAGAAGGGCTTACACACAGACTACCTCTCAAGCTTTTTATGTAACCTGTGCCATTGTTGCACTGCTTACCTTATGCACTGATGATTTCAGGTCAAGTCAAGAAGAACTCCTTTTCCATCTGTTATATATCGGTTCATTCAAGTAATGCTTTCTTTAGTTTCCAGTCAGGTCCAAGCAGAGCCACCTCAAGCTTTATCTCAAGCTTTATCTCAAGCTTCCGCAGAACATGAAAGTTGTGAAGGTAAAGAGGCAAAAGTCCAACAAAAGCAGGTAAGGAGACCTGAGTGCTTTAGGAGACAGATTAAATATGGTAAATGCTGCATTTGTCTAAAACATTGTTTTGTCTTTGTAATCCTAGAGAACTCCACTGAAGACACTGGAACCAGCAGTACCTGCTGCTCCACAGGATGAGGAGGAAGGGGATACCTGTGCAATCTGCTTTGAGCAGTGGACCAATGCTGGGGACCACCGACTCTCAGCATTGCGGTGTGGGCACCTATTTGGTTACACCTGCATTGACAGATGGCTCAAGGGACAGGCAGCGAAGTGCCCCCAGGTAAAATGGACATTTCTGTGCTTTGGAAAGGATTTTCTATTGGGTAACTTCTGCTGCAGGTGTGAGCACTGTAACTGTTACAACTGGTTGCTGCAGGAAAAATCCACCTTTGCCTGCTGTCAGAAATAACAAAAATCACCATTATTTTGATGTAACTAGGCCAGGAGCAACTTACGCTGCTTTCAAGGGAGGATTCTGACTTGAATTCTCTCCCGAAGTAGAGCATTTGTGAGTAGCAGACTTAGAAGTCTGAGAGTTCAAGTGCTAAACCTGTAATTGGTTTCAGAACACTGAAGTGTGGTAATGGCAGACAGATTCCTAGAAGCAATTAATTAAGCATAAAGAATATGTTATTGGACAAGAAATGTGTTTGAAAAGCGTTTTCAGTTGGTTAATCTTCCGTTTTGAACTTCCTCTGCTTTTGCAGCCTTTAAGCAGATTGGATTGTTTAGGTAGCTTGCAGAGAGTAAACTGAGAAACAAGGGGCATCCTTTAATGTCCAATTGCAAGTGGTAGAACTGCTTTTTAAGGTGCTCTTTTTGGTTTTTGTTTCCATGGGTGATATTGATCTCTTTCAATTAGGCCTACACGTCTCTGATGTGCTTCCATTCCTTATTCTTTTCCAGAAAGGAATGGGTCAACAAGTACCTTGTAAATAGGATTCAGTTCTGCTGCTTTCCAAGCTGGTGGCTGGAGGCCCAGGATTTCTTTGGCTTTGTCATTTTGAGAGCTTCCATGGTCTTGCTTGACCTTGTGCAGGATTCCTTCCTTTCAGCCAGAAACTTCCTGTTGACGCACACTGGTTAAACCTAAAGAGTCACTGTTGCCATAGCAAAGGCCCAAACCTTATTTTTCTTATCCCTGTCAATTCTGTGTAAGCTTTTCTTCACCCGCTCCAGGCCCAGACAAAATTCTCAGAGACCTTTCCAGCATCTTTGCTCTTTGGAATTTTGTGACTGCTTTCTTCTTGCATCCTAACAACTTCTGAGGGGTGCACGCGCCCTCACTTTCTTCCAGCGATGCAATTACTGAAAAGTTCCTGAGAGAACTCCGTGCTCTGGAGACAACCTTGCAGCTAAATCATCTTTCTTTCATTTTCAGCTGCTGTCCTTTGCGATTGGGCATTCTCTAATTGAATAGCACAGGGTTGCCGTGCGTGGTGCTCTGTATACTAAGTGGCTCGAATGCAAGTTACTGTGAAATTGCAGCATTCGTGATCCTGCCAGTGACAGCTGCTGGCTGCCAGGAAAGCTGTCTTAGCCACTTACTGCTCTGCAAGGCAGTTCTTGACAAAGGAAGGGGGGTTGTCTTATCTGAAACTGTTGCCCGTGATGTCTTCGTGCTACTAAATAATAGAGAAGTCTGCATTTTAAGCACACATAGTAATGTAATGCTCAGCAGAGGCTACTTGATCTGTCTGTTCACTGCTGCTTTTCTGATCAGCAAAGTGTAGTTTCAAAACAGTAAGCTTGCAGATGCTATAATTTCTCCCAAGTCCTATCTCAGGGGGAGGTGTTATCCCTTCTTTTTAAGGAGAATCTAAAGTACTAAATGATCACAGCCAGATGCACAAAATTATTGAAATACCTGACTCTGTGTATCACTGAAATCAGTGGGATGTCAGTGTTTCATACTGGCACTGGAATACCTTTATGGATTTGGGGCTATAGGATTTGATTAAAGGAATATAATGCATAAATAACACCATTGGGAGTATATTCAGTGGGTCCCAAATCACTGTCAGTTGGCCAAGCGGCCAGTCTTGGTGTTTGAGAAATAGAGATTGGGCTGGTGTTTTGTTTTAGATCTTTTTTTCCTCTACTTCGTTTGGCTTTTTTTGTCCCTGGAGCTTACCTGACCATGCTGCATCGCTGGTGCTTTAGCAGAACAAATTTCTGGGAAGCAAGGAGGTGCATTATTAAAGGTGCAGTAGGATGCACAATCAAAATTGCTGTTGTAGCCCCAATTAGAGCTCTGGTGTCTATATGTCTTGCAAACATGGTGTGGTATGCTCTTGTTTTTGTGGACTTGTTTTCAAGTAGACAACCCCTCCCTCCCTTCAAAGCTATAAGGAGTTTTCGAAGTAATGGCCTAGCAACTTGTAGGGATGCCTAGTTTGGATAGTTAAATTCCTGTAGATGAACTGAACTTGGTTTTTATTTCAGTGCAATAAGAAAGCGAAACGTTCCGACATCGTGATCCTGTATGCTCGTACTTTGAAAGCGCTGGATACCAGTGAACAGGAACGCATGAAAAGGTGAGGAGTCGCCACGTGAAGATATGACCTCATTGGCTGCCTGCATTGAAAGCTGCAGTCTGGCTTTGACTCAAGCTTTCATTTCCTGTAGTGTGTGAAGCAATTTGTCCATTTCCTTGGGGATCATCGTGAGTATGGCTAGTTTAACAAACCAGGAGCTGCCTGGGTTGTGTGTGTCTTACCTGGAAGGAGAAGTTTCTTTTGGAAACAGAGTTGTTGAGTTTGTGCTTCGCAGCACTGAAATAGCAAAAGCTATCTTGTGTTGTATCCTGAAATGTCATGGGAGAGCATGCAGAGTTGTTGCCAAAAAGCCGTATATTGCTAATTCATCATTAGATGAGAAAAGTGAGGCATAGTTAGAAAAGCAAGGGAGGGCGAATACCTGACCTTTTCTGACATCTTTTCTGCATGCATTAAACAGCGTAATCTCTCACATGAATCACTTTCCATCTTGCTTTGTCAAACTCTTCATGTAGCCTTACTTGCAAAAGGTCAGCAAGCATTGCTATGACTCTGCTTCACCCTTCAACTTAAATGTAGATTTATTTTTTTATCGGAAAGCGGAAAAGTGGGTATGAAAATGGGAACTAATTTCTTTTCAGTAAGGTGGTGTCACAGATACTATTCTGACATTAAAAGGCTGCAAATATCTGAGTTCTGAATCTTGCAGTGAATAGGATTTAATTGGGGTCTTTACGTGTCTCTTAACCATGCTGCTGTTCTTTCAATGCAGCTTTCAACAGAAATCTGACTATCCTGGTAATTATTAATCAGAAATGACTGAGGAGTAACTGTCACGAAGGGAAAATATCTCTTCTGTCCAGACTGCCGCTGCCTGCTGGTGTTTGAATTGTGCCTTTAGCAGAGTCACGCTGCCTTTACTGGATTGACACTGCAAAACAAATGATAAATAAGATTTATTTATTTTTTTTCAAAAGCATAGGAGGCATTTGGGTGTTTAAGTTTTGTTATCCCTCAGGGAGAGGTAGTTGTTTGCCTGCTGCTTGTGTCTCAGTCTTGCTGCAGCCCTTCCCCATTTGCCCTGCACCTTGCCTGTCTCCTGCTTCTGTTGGGAGCAGACAGCGATGGCTGCCTGTCAGTCCTGTGAGGTTGCTGGCAGTGGCTGCTTTGTGGCACACAGCCACGAGTGGAGGACAACTATGAGCACTGATGCATGCATCAATATTGTTTGCACATGGCCTTGAATTAGGTCTAAGATCATGGGTTTTGTTTTTCATGTTCAAAAAAAGCCAGCCTTCAGGCTCTGGGTACTTGTGCAAAGAATGTGTTTGTGATGGTTAAATACAGCATTTCACCTGTTTCCTACACAACAACAATCAGGTGAAGAAGCTATAGGGTAACGACAGAGTTCTGTGCCTGATGAACATGCAAGCCAGATTTTGTATATTGAGAAGGTACTTCACGAGCTAGATCTCCCTGCACCCGAACTACTGACATGTTGACCCCTGCAAAAGCTGCAGTGTTACAGACCAGAAGTGACAACTTTAAGGAATATTGGTGTTTCTTTCTCTTCTTTAACTGTTCCTTCATATGTAAAGCATATATGGAAGAGAAATTGAAGTATGTTACTGAAACTGCAGCTGCTAAATGGTGTGTATGCACTTTTAGGCTCAAGGTGAGGTAGTAAGTATGGCTTCTGTATGGGTATTTATGGAGAATTTATCTGTCTGTTTCTGATACAGCTGTATTTTCCTGAAATACAAAATTAGTTACTGGAAGTAGAAGAAAGCTTGCAGATCTTGCTGCATTACTGACATGGTATATTACATGGACACTGATGGTACAGAATTGGCTAAACAGAAAAAAAAAGGCTGATTTCTCTTTCACTGTTAAATTAAGACATTTGAAGAGGGTGAGGAGAAAGGCTGTTGTTTCTATGGAACAATAATTAAGTGAGTAATTCAGTACAATTGCATAACTGAGAACATCTCGAGGTGAATGCACTAGATGAGTGTGGTACCAGATTTTCTGTTATTTTTGAATCTACCTGAACAGGACCTGTGCTGGGGTGAAGTCTGGGAATAGGAGTAGATGGCCCAGAGTAGCATCCAAGGTAACACCTATCCTAAGGATTGCTTTTCTTTCGTTCCTCCAGCTTTTTCGAAAAGGAGCAGATGTTGCGGAGGCAGGCAGAGCTGGAATCTGCACGGAGCCAGCTCCAGTTGCAGGTGTTGACAGATGAATGCAGCAAACTCCGCAAGCAAGTTCAGGTGAGTCTCCCACTGCTGAAACACAGAGGATTCCCTTTCTCTTCAGCCTGTCTTTTACAGCCTTCCAGTTTTGATCAGCAGCAAGATTTAGTAAGTTCAACTGGTTGAGTTTATCCCAGGCTGGCATATTCATGTATGCTACATAACACTGACTTTTTTTTTCTGTGCTTCAGAGACTTAATCAAAATTGTAAGTATAGCTTAGCAGTAGAGCTTTTTGGCTGCTGATGTTGCAGGTTCCTCCTCAAGTTCTGTGGTCCCTGGCAAGGCTTGGTAGTACAGCACCAAACTTATTCTCCTCATCTTTCTCTTAACTGCATCAAAATAAGCTTAGAAAAATCTCTATAGTAAAACTGTAATGGGACCTATTATTGCTGTAGTTAGTCAAGAGCCTTTGAGAAGCAGTTTGTGAAGAGTTACGGCTATTTGCAAGAATAAAAGAACAAAAAAAACCCTTAGTTTTTTGGTGAAGGTCCGTCAACATTGTACTTAAGCACCTTCTGGTACCATGAGACCTGGTCTGTCATTAGAGTAGGCTGCATGCATGGGCTGAACAGCTGCTAAGAGGCACCTCTGTCCCTTAGAACACAAATTACTGAAAATAAATGGTTGCTAAATGGCTGCCTCCTTTGTGGTTTATGCAATACTGTGACATTTTCTAACCCATCACAGCTGCTTTTGCGGGATTCCTGTAAGTTGTGGACTTCGGTGCTTCCAACTGAATTATCTGGCCTGTTCCACCAGGGCTAGGTTTTTCCAGTAGCCTGTTTCATAGCCAGTTTGCTACTTGTTTTGTTGTATGAAGTAGATGATCTCTAATCTTTCACTGTCTAGTAACTCACTTAATTTTATGCTTTTCTCTACTTCTGGATATTTTTATAGCCTTGGCTATTCATATCCGTACATCCTCTTTGCTGAAGTCTTCCTGTGTGACGTTAAGATAAGGCTTTATAAATTGCTTCCCTAGATTCCTGCATGAAGCTATCAGAGCCAATAAGAAAATTGGTCCACTTTAAACTCTAGCTTAAGAAAAATGTGAGTAAGATAAAACTGCAGGTCCATAACGTCTTCCTGCAATTCTTTTGGTGTTAAATGATGGAATATCCAGTTTAACTGAATTGTAGTCGCATGTTATAAAGATGAAGTACCCTGTGTTCTTTAAGCTCTGTTTCAGTATTTATACTGCATTCATCACTGTCCTGTAGTGGTTAATACGAGTGCTGGAAGCAATTTTAAGGTGCTTGTTTATACTGTGAATAAACTGAACGTAACACAATTTGCTGGAGAGAAGAAAATCAGCAGGAAGTCTGGAATAAGTCTCCAAGTTGTTTGATTATATTTTGAGCATATGCCTAACAATTTCCTTATCTTAGGAGAGGTCATCTAGTAAAGCAACTGTACCTGCATAGAATCACTTAGGTTGGCAGGGGCTCTAGTTGGGTAACTTCAGCATTGGGTTGGGTTGCTCAGCTGTTGTGTGTGCAAGCAGACTGCCCAGCTTCTGGACATCCCACAGTTCGACCATCCTCATTGAGAAATACCTTTTGTTAACATCGAATCTGAATGTGCCTTGTTGCATCTTGAATCTGTTGTTCTGGTCCTTTCAGCAAGCAGTGTTATTGATGGCACCAGAAAACGTGTTGGCATACAAAGCTGTAAATCAATGCAGAAAATCAAGTGCTGTGGGATTACAAAACAAATGTGTGAAATGCCCGTATGGTCAGAGGGATGTTTGCAAAGCTCAGTTGCATGGAACTTTTTTTGCAGTTATGATGTTCATTGGTTGCATGTGAAGCTGTGGTGTCTGAACTCTTATGGAAAGTAAATGCCATCAATTTTTCCTCAAAAGTCATTGCTTGAACCCTTCTTTTCATTGCTAATGTGCTTGAGAGCTCATCAGCAGTCGTGTCACTAGTTATGACCTTGTTTTAGGTTTGTATGCGTTTTTCCTTGCTCTTGTCCATTAACAATCTTGCTGTTGTATTTTGTTAATCAACTATTTAAGCTGATTGAGGCTAGAAAAGGGATTTTTTGGAAGTCTTCAGTTACATGAGACTACGTGAGGAGAGGAACTTGAAGGGAGAAAGAGAGGGTAGGTAGCTACCTAAAACTCTGAAAGAAAGCTCTCAACAGTGTTTCTCCGATGTAAGCCTGAAGTGTGTGCTGTGCTGAGCCGCACGCTGCGCTCTGCGTGTTCAGACTTGCATTTTGAGAGCAGTGCTAGTGAAGCCTTCCTTACTTGTGCCTAAAGCCTCTCCTCTGTGAGCACAAAGGACTTGGGAATCAGATGTGAGCTACTGCAGTACTTCTGAATCTGCCAAAACTTTCAGAGTTAGCTAAGGATAAGCAAAGTGTCTCTGGCTTCTGGCATTAGTACCACTAGGGTAGGACTCCTCATTGCAAGCAGGAGACAGTAGCTCTGTTTGCACATGGAGCAGTCTGTTTACATTGGAAAAGCTTTTTTAAAATAGGTTTTCAGAGTGTCTGAAATGAACTGGATGGCACAATAGCAATAAAAACTTGTGAACCTAACACCTTTAGAAAGATTTTAGGCTAATGGTTTTTATTGCATAAAAATCTTTTATCTTTGTGATCTTTGTTTACCTCCAGTTGATGTCTGAGGAATATCTGGAAGAAGTAGAAGTTGCTGTTTCATTCAGATGTTACTTATAGCGAGGCCAGTTAAAAATGCTGTGTCCCTTTGAATCTGGACCTGCACTGAAGGCAGGTGGAAGGGGGAATAACTGTAGTGCTGCCCTGCAGATGGAGGTTGTACACTCATGTTTACCTCTATTAAATGCAAGGCTGGGGCTGTGTCATGGCTTCTGTAAGAGACAGCCAGAGTGACAGTCATTTGAGAACTGCCTTTGTCTTTAAAGCTTCATGTTGAGACTGTAAGCTAATACTCAAAAGAAAGCTGTTCTGAAGCTGTTGTAGCTGGTGGTTTTCCCTTCCTATTCATTGTGCTCTCCTGCTGCTTTTCACACGTACTCCTCAGGAAGACTTCTGCTGTATATGCTCCTGTGTGACTCTTCTTTCATGGCTACAATGGCAAGCTGAGCTCTAAGGTGCAGAGAGACAAGTGTACCCTCGAGGCCCTTAGTCAACACCAGGCATCAGGAGAGCTCTGCAGACATCTTAAAGGAAGGTACAGGCTTACACTGCCAGCAGAGCAGTCTTCTGAGCACAGTTAGTGGAGTTTGTTCTGCAGTGCAGCATTTTTGATCACTTTGGAAAGGTGTCTCCAGTAAGACTTCCTGATTCTGCTGGGTTTATCCACTGTGGTTAAATGTAAGCATTGTGCTAATAGTCCTTGTGGTTTTAATTGCCTGGTTTCCTTTTGAATAACTTGTATAAAAGTTGAATGTTGAGTTCAGGTGGCAAGGAGTGTTTTGTAAACTCCCCAGAGCAACAAATAACTTTAATCTCCTCTAATCCTCAGTGGTGGTATCCTCCAGCCTTTTAGGAAGTAAATAGTTTTGGGGTTTTTTTAATTAAAAGTCACTTTCTTTTACATTTCATAAGTCCAAAGCTACAGCTTCCATCATAAGCATCCTGGCACCCTCCACACCCCTTCCTCCTCAGGTTGTTTTGCTTTTGCTTGCTCTAACAGGATCATCTTGAGTCTTCAGCTTCAGTTTTTATTCCCTTGGGGAATTTGTAATGACCTTGATGCAGAACAGATCAGACCTCTGTAAAATATCAGAATTGCTCTCCTCTTGAGCAGTTTCCAAAAGTTAGAGGTCTTGATGATAACTATTAATGTAGAGCTTGATCTTTGATCTTGCCTCTTTGAGAACTGCTGCCTTTGCTTAGATGTGAATTAAGTGGTAGTGGCTGGTTCAATATTGAAGCTAGCTTGCAGTCTCCTAATATATTCATAATATCACTCTTGCGGCCCTTAATTGTTTAAAGACTGCGTAGTATTTGCAGCAGACAACAGAAAGCAAGTAGCAATTTTCTTAACATGTACATTGTCTGGTATCCCTGGGGTTCTGTTTCTGGTTTTGCCCTTGGATTACAAGAAGTTGGTCAACGTGCTCTTTCGAGGGGCATTTTTAGTTGACTCATGTTATGCCAGTGCCACTGCTCGCATACCCTCTCACCCTTGATCTCCGGAAAGAAGAATTCTAGAAATACCTTGCTGCTGATGGAAGCTGTCCTTGGCCGTGTCTCTGCATCCTTGAGCATTCATCAGCTGAGCTGGAGGCAGAAGGGGGAGGAGGTGGTGGAAAACAGGGCTGGAGCTCTTGAGAGTTGTGTCGTTCCTGGAATTTGCTGCCCAGGGTTTACAAGAACAGGGTCATAGTCATTACATAGACGGACTTGTTTCCTGCAACACCCTGATATTGAAATTCGGGCTTTTATTTTTTTTTTTATGGGGTATTCTGGAAATTCTGGAAAATGGTTCTAATTGGCTTTCTCTTGTGGTTTTAGCTGCATGTAATACTTGGCAGTTTATTCTCTTCTAAACAGCATTGATCTGGTAATAATTGTTATTGGCTTTTATGTGTTGCCCAAGAGTCCTCTCCCTCCCAGGGTCTGATACATACAATAACAGACTTTGAGTCCATTCTGCCAGAACTCACGTAGCGTTCAAATGCTTTTGTTGCTCACTGTCATAGTCAGTGGACTTGGAAATACAGCATTTCAGGAACGGTGTGGAAACTGGACCATATTCTCCCTCTTTTTCTGAGAACAAGTTGGAGCATCTGGAACAGATAGCACAGAAGGTTACACTGCCAGTGGCACATTAAAGCTGTTGGGTCTCTTTTCTTGCAGGAATTGAAGGCTCTGGTGGCCCAGCAAAATGCGAATGCTGCTCAGCAACCTGGCAGCTCCCACACCTGCCCCTCAGGCAGCCTCCCCTCCAGCCAGAGCCAGTGCAAGTACCACTTGGAAAAGGTTTTTATGGTGTCTCAGACTGGGAGCTGCAGAGTAATGGCATACTGTGACTCACTGAGTTGTCTCGTGGTATCGCAGCCTTCTCCACAGTCTACTTTTATTCCTGGTAATTATGCAAGTCAAGATTATGGGGTTTATAGGTGAAAATTAAATGTGTTTTCTACTTCTTGCTTCCTGCTCCTCTGCTTGACTTTCACATGTGCCTTGTAAACTGGGAATACTGCTACAACTCCTGGTAGTTGTTCTGGCCCCTGCATTGGTAACTTCTGAGCAAGGCAGCTTGTTTCTCTTACTGCTTTTCTGGCAGAATCCTAGCAGAGGGTCTCTGGCTCTTCTGCTGCAGTGCCACATCCACAGCAAGGTAAGAGGAGTGTCTGGTGCTCCTTGCAGAGGTGGGTCTTCTGAAAGAACAAGGGGTCAGCACCCTAGGGTATGCGGAGAAGCTTCCAGTGCTTGAGTGAGAAACATTGCTCCCCAAACTGTAGTGGATTGATCCACATCCATGGTTTGACAATCACATACTGATTTGTCAATACTCTAGAAACGGGGGGAAAAAAAAGGTAAAAAATTTTTAATATGAAGGATAGAAGCAGAGTTTTCCAGTGAGGAAACAGGAAGCCAAGAAGTCATGGCCAGCCATGGGTTTTTCGTTTCGCTGTTATGGCCAGAGGCAAGAGACCTGGCATCTGGAACAGCACCAACGTGCTTTTTCAATGAAATAAATGTAGCATTAGGGATCCCATTGTTTATTTGCAAAGTACTTCAGTGCTTTCTGAATGATGGAACTTTATTTGGTAAATGGTTTGGAGATTAATACGCCTTATCTAGGCATAGCAAAATTGTTTTCTGTCTTCAACTGACCTTTATTTTCTGGCTTTTGGAGCCGGGAAATGAATCCCTGAATGGAGGCTTTGTGGTGACTCTTGCAGCACACAGGTTAAGTTCACCTGTAACCATTGTTTGCAGTGACACTTGTTCTCTTAAATAGCCACGTAATCCTACTGTGTGTGTTTACAGGCAAGAATGTCTTTGAAGAAACTGGCTAAAGAGCAGCAGGCTCTTGTAACAAGGCGTGTAGCACTGATACTGAGATTGCTCTTTCTGTCTGGGATCCCGAAGGAATTAGCCCTGTTGCCATTTGAACTAAAGAATGATTAGTGGCAGTTCTTATCCAGAACAACAAATAGCTTTCATGTGTTCATCCTACGACACATTTCAGTACAGACATTGGAGTTCTGGCACTGAATTGCTAGATCTACATGTATGCTGCTTCACGATAACCTGCTTCATCCTTCTTCCATGACAGGTTGTGGTGTTAAGATGATAAGCATGGCCAACCTGAAGAGCACTCAGTACATCCCCATCCACAGTAAACAGATCCGAGGACTGGCTTTCAGCAGTCGAGCAGATGGCTTGCTCCTCTCTGCTGCCCTGGACAACACTCTCAAACTGACCAGGTGAGCCCTGCTGTGGGGAGCACCCTGTCCCAGCTGAGTTTTGCTATATGCAGGAGACTGTATTCCTGCTCTAAATGCCTTACAGCACTTGCTGTTCTGCTTTCCAAGAGATGGTGCAAAGATGAGATCAGATCTACACGTTCTTCCTACATGTGGAAACTAATGGAGAGAGACTTGTTCTTGCTTCCCAGTCTTTTATATGGAAGTGTTATGAAGCTACCTGTCTCTAATAACTTATTTTCCTGTGGAGAATTCAGTGGAAAACAAGTAATTCAACACATATTGGCCAAGTTGTGTTGAGAAAAAACATAGCATGATGTATAAATGTGAAATCTACCCCCCTCATGCTTTTCTGTTCCTGCAGGGAAATAAATGTGAAGCGTGGCAACTTGTATGGCATGAAACAGAAACAAGGGCTGTTGAGGTTGGGCACTTTCATCCCTGTACTAATGTTGGCCTCTCTGAATTTAAACTTTTTGCAAAAGCTTGTAATTCATCTGGGCTGTGGAGTGTGTAGCAGGCGTTGTTGAGCACGGGCTACAGGAACACAGGTTCTCCAGAGCTTGGAGAGACTTAAAGCAGGTTAGAGACCAATTATGCAGAGACTAAGAGAGAAATGTGTCAAATCCTGGCAGAATTTACAGCCTATGAGTGTGTTTTCTTGCTACTCTGTGCTGCTCTTCAATCTTAAGCTTAAGCTGCTTCAAGACTTTGTTAGCTGATTGATTCTTATTGACCCATATTAAGATCTTCATGCACATCTGTCAGTATAGAGTGAGGCAGGGTATGTCTTATATGGCTGATTAGTCCCAATTCTTTCCCACAAGCGAAGCAATGAAGAGAGCTTAATCCTGCAACAAAAACGTAAAGAATGTTGCTTTCCTCATATTGAAATATTTGCTAGACTACTTAAAGGTAAACAAAACTGTCTGATGCTGAAGTCAGCATTGTCAGATTTGGAACCAGTGAGGTTGATGTTCTTTTCATGGTTTAATCTGGAGGGTGGCTTCTTGTTGCGGTGTTTGCTCAGACACTTGACTGCCACACCTGCCCAGTTGCCACATAAGAACTTGCGATCCTCTTGCCTTTGTTTTTGGTCCCAGAATGTCTGGAGTTAAGTGCTTGCTTCAGCAGCATCTTCATACTTCTTTTAGTCTCCCTTTGAAATAAGTCTCCTTCTGGTCATCTTTCTTCTCTAGTTACTGATTTCATAGTCATCCCACCAAAAGGAACTTTCCAAGATGTTCTTAAGTCTCCTGTTCTGGCTTGCAAGTGTTTAAAATAGCACCGTGGCTTTTTTCCTGTTGTTTTTAACCAGTCACTGTTCTGATATCAAACTCCCTGTTAATGTTCCCCAGCCAGGCTTGTCTGTCTGGTCGTTCCCCTTATACTTACCTGGGAGCAAGTTCTGAGTATAATCACCTTCCTCGAGGAGAAACCTCCGTGTTGTAGCAGATATCCAGAGTTACTTTCAGTGCTGTCTTCTATCTCATGCTGTTTTCAATGTGCTGAGCCTATGCTGGCAATGCTGCCCTTTGCAAATACATTCCATTCTGACACCAGCTTCGTCTGCTATTCTGGGTTGCACCCTTCTGTGCACTCCCCTCTTCTTCCTTCCACACTGAGTTTCTAAAAAAACTAACACCGTGAATGTGCTTTTTAACCCCCAATCACTGTCTCACTCTTGCTTAAGTTGGATTCTTTAGAGGCAGAAGCACTGTTCCTCTTCTGTAAAAAGAGGGAAATAATTAATGAGAGATGTAATCTGAAGAGATGAGCCCTGCAGTCTCAGGAATATGCAGTATTACAGGTTTACACTGGAGTCACTTCTCATAATTGTTCTCAGAAAAGTCACTTCGCTTTCTCTTTCCAGTAAAGCAGCTGAGATTTCCTTTCCCAGTCTCCAAAGATCAATCTGGAAAATAAAAGCATTGGCCTGGAAGAAATCACCTGACAATATCCCAGTGATTATTCTGTCTAGATTTTCCAGATTCCTGTCTGGAGTAGAGGAGGATTTAATCCCAAACTCGGTCTAGAGAGAAATGCTTCTGTCTAAAGACTTTAAAAAGCTAGATTTGCTTACCTTAATTATGCTATTTTCTTATCAGTTGATGTTTGTGCAATGGGCCGACACTTTGCTTTTCTTCTGCAGCTTGGCAACAAATACCGTGGTGCAGACGTACAATACTGGCCGTCCTGTCTGGAGCTGCTGCTGGTGTCTCGATGATACGAACTACATCTATGCTGGGTTGATCAATGGCTCCATCATGATCTATGATTTGAGAGACACAAACTCTCATGTCCAGGAACTAGTCCCTCAGAAGTCCAGGTATGGCATAAGGATTTTTAATTCCTCTCAACTTCACTAAGGTACATTAAGCCGAACACCTTATTCCATAAATCACACAGCAATTGTAATCGTTTAAGTTGTTTTATGTGAATCTCTTGTTCAAAAATTCAGATTTAGCACAGATGTAGAAGTCCCCCATAAGGTTGCATGGTATAACTTAGTACTTGGCACCTTTTAAGGCACACAGTGGTCAGAAATGGACCCACTGGTGCAGCCTAAGCAGGAAAACCAACTTTTGTTTTGGAGCTAGGTTTAGTATTTAATTTGGAAAGGACAAATTACAGAGGGGTGTGAGACACTGGCACTTTCATCTCTTTTACTCGGGGAATCAAATGCTGATTTACACACATCTGATGTGTGCAGTCTGATGCTTCTTTAAAACATACAGCTTAGGACTTGTGGAATATCACTTACTTTTTATAAACACATTGGGGTTTCTTGCTTGAAGGACTTTCGTAGTTGCTTAGGCCCTCTTTGCATTGTGGTCGGAGAGAGGTGAGGCAGGACACCTGCACGGCTGCAGCTGGCAGCGCTGACTCTTGCCAATCTCGCTTTCAGGTGCCCCATGGTGTCACTGTCCTATCTGCCCCGGATGGCCTCAGCATCACTGCCTTATGGTGGAATATTAGCTGGGACCTTGGAAGGAGCCTGCTTTTGGGAACAGAAAGCTGGCAACTCTTACCGGCCTCATCACCTGCCACTGGAGCCTGGAGGATGCATTGATCTTCAGACAGAGATCAGCACACGGCACTGCCTCGCGACCTACAGGCCCAGTACGTAACTGCGTGCAGTCGCAGTGCGCTTTCCATTGCTGCTCTGGCCTGCTGTTTGTTAGGTTCAACAGCAGCTTTGCTGAGGGCACAGCTGAAATGGAGTACCTGCCTTGGCCAGAGTAATGAGCATCTGCATGTAGATAAGAATTGGGTGGAGGCAAAAGGAGGCAGCTGCAGGGTGGTGGTGCTTGAATTCCTACGGTTAAAACTTGTCTGCAATAAAATTTCCTAAAGGTTACTTTATTTCTGCTGTGCAGGTAAAAATAACCCGTATGTGCGTTGTGTGATGATGGAACTGACCTGCAGTCCGCTGACAGAGGCCTCTGAGGATGTGGTGTGTTCTTCTCACCCAGTTCAGACATTTACCGCTGGGCCCACCTGCAAGTTGCTGACCAAGAATGCCATTTTTCAGAGCCCGAAGGAGGATGGCAGTGTCTTTGTGTGTGCTGGTGATGAGGCGTCTAATTCTGCCCTGGTACATCTCATTCCTTTCAGTGTGGTGGAGGGGTTTATTGCAGCTCTTAGGAGAGGAGCCTTATTAGTCACACCACCAGTGTGTTTTGGTGGGAATTGTCTTTCAGGCACATTACCCTGTGCAGGTTGGTCTGTTGTGCCTGCCATAGCAGGCGTAACTTTGTGATAGTGTGGGACACTCAATATTAGTCAAGGCCTGTGGTCCATATCCCATCGATGGGAATGCAGGCAGTGAGGCCCTGGAGCCCATCAGGGGAATGCAGTTGGGCACACTGACACAGCTGGGCACTGACTGGTATAACAAGGACTTGGTGGGATGGTTAATGTGGTTAAGTGCTGTGAGGGATGGGTGCAGGTTCTTTAGGTGTGACAGAGAAGACACAAAGAAGGGTTGCTCTTCATATGAAAGAGCAGCTTGGGTGCAGAGGATGGACAACAGGCTGCATGAGCGTGTCACAGCCCATCCAAGCAGGCTGTGAAAGTCAAGAAAGGCTCCTGTAAGTTACTTGAGGAAAGCCTTTTCTCTAGCGAGAGCAAGCTGTGTTTTGGTTGGGAGGGGAGAATCCTGCAGTCTCTGACCTTGTCTGTCCCACAGCTATGGGATGCTGGCAGTGGCTCCTTGCTGCAGAAGCTGCAGGCTGACCTGCCTGTGCTGAATATCTGCCCCTTGGAAGTGAACCAGACCCGCTTCCTGGCTACGCTGACCGAGAAGATGGTGAAGATCTACAAGTGGCAGTGAGAGTGGTCCCCACATCAGCTTTCCAACTGTGCTGCTGGTTAACCCTACACAACTGCTCAGTCCCAGGCCTGCCCTGCATCCACTGCTCACAGGAGATAGGGACCACTACAGCACCTTTCTGGCAGTAGGTGGGAACTGGGACGCGCTGGTGCCTGCAGCAATTCCCTTCTTGCTCCATCTTCATTTTCAGGTCTGCTCTTATTTCTTTAGTCAATTTTCTTCAGTCAAACTCTGCAAGCTGCCTCAGCACAGCAGTAATTCTTGGACTGTCTCCAGCATATGTTGCTGCACTTTTTTTCCAGTATGAATACAGCACAGAGACTTGCAAATCTCTTCTACAAATCAAGACAATAAAAGGAACTTGAAGACCTGAGACTCCCACTGCACTTTCTCATGGAGTCCTGCTGTGATTGCTGGGTGACAAAAAGGTAGCAAAATTGGCATCTCGCTAGCGTGGCTGATCCTTGAAGTAAAAGCAAGTTCACTGCTTTAGGGAACGTACTCCCATGTTCTCCTGAAGGTCTAGGGTCAGCTGGCAGTTATTCCCTGATGAGGACAAACCCTGTTTTGTGGCCATGGAGAGAACAGGCTTGGAAAATCTCCAGAGAAGCTTTTTCTTTTGGGGCTTATTTTCCATGAGCAGATAATTTGCACTGCAATTCCTTAATTCTCTGCCCCCATTTCCTTCTTTTTTTTTTCTGCTTCAGCCACAAGCAAACTCAGACAGTTTGGTTGTGTAAAATGAAACTTTAGTAGTGGAGTAGTGCAGGTAAAGAGGAGATGATTCTTGTATTGTTGGCTGCTGCAGTCCATGGTGTCCTTCCTTGCAGGCAGCAATGTACTGAGGAAAAGAACACTGCCTGCTTTTTTTATCTGCTTTTTTTTCTCTCCTAAGAGTGTGATAGAAACTCAGGCATTTCATCAGCTTGCTTTCACTGACATTTGCCTTCCTTAAATCATAGCTGCCAGCTCACCCCCCGGTCACAGCCATCTTCTGGCTTTATTTGTGTGCAAGCGTGCTGCAGACTCACTGGTTTAGGTAAATCTGAGCCAAGCAGGTGGGATTAGAGGCCAGGGGATGTTCTGAGCACCCTTCCCATGAATATGCCGAGGGGTGTAAGAATGTTTGTTTTATCTCCAGGCCAGATCATGAAACAGGACTTAGCTTTCATTTTCTGTTCAGTGAAAGAAAACTTGCAAGGATGTTGGAATCTGCAAGACGAGCTCTGTGTGCTGGAAGCCTCAGCACACCTCTGCTGCTGGCTGTGGGAAGCAGCATCCACCCCGCTTGGATTGCGTGCATCTCCGCTTAAACTACTAGAACAGCTCTATTTTCTGAAGTCTGGGGCTTGCACAGTGTGATCCTGTTTATGCCTTGCCTCTTAAAATGAGATCGAGAAGATCTCTGCTTAACTTTATATTTTTCTGTATAGTATTTTGTTCCTATATTTTTATAAGCAGTAAAAATAAAGGGTTTATTGTTACCAAATAGAACTGCTGCTGCTGTACTTTAAAAATACATCTTGGCGGTGTACACTGCATATTTGTGAACTTAAACAAGGATCCCCACATGGAGGTAAGGCTTTGCATGCCTTCTAGTATTTCCAAGTAACACTTGGCTTCAAACTGAGGTAATTAAAGCTTTTCGTGAATGAAGAGTCCTCACTGAACCAGGTGAGGGGAAAAGGAAAGGGTTGAGCAAAGTGAGGCCATGCACCTGGGACGTCGAAACTGGAAATAAATTCACTGAGGTGGGACTCTTTGGCATTTTAACAATGGTTGGGAACGGAGGGTTAGTGGAAAGAATAACGTAGTGAGCAGGTTTCCAGTCGTGCCAGTTAAAACCAGATAGAGCAGACTGATCTCCACAACTTAATGCGATGAGTTGCTTGTTCTCAGCCATCCTGAGGCATCATTTAGGCTCTGCCAACTCCAGCCCCTTCCTCCCACAAGAAATTTGGAAAATTTTAAATGTGCAGGAAAAGCGATTAAAAGGCCTCTCAGATTTTTATTTTCTAGGTAGCACTTGTTTCCTATTTTATACTGCCTTAGTGGAATACGAGGCACAAAGTTAAATGCCATTAAAATCCTAACGGAAGATGACACTTCATTTCTTTCAGCTTTCAAATGCAGAATTTAAGAAAACTCTCAAGGATTTGAGATGTGAAGAACCTTGTAACGCTGTCCTGGTTTGCAGCATCGAGGGCTGATAAAAGGTCAGATGTGTTAATTAAATATTTGCTCATCTCTGCCTGGAGTCAAAAGGGCAGATTCTGGGATGGCAGGAAGAGAAAATGAGCGTCTGCACGGTGCAGGGCAGCTGCCATTAGAGGCTGAGGTGTTTGACTGGTGTTTTAGGCACTAAGCTGCTCTGTGGCTATTTCTGCCGCTGTCTCTGGGAGGATTTTGTTATCGTGGAGCAGGGCGGCCCCTTGGCAGTTCCTGTAGTAAATCTGATGCGAGGCGATGGGTAAAGCCAGGCAGCGCTGTGGCTCCTGCAGACAGGATGTCTGTGTACAGGCATTTTGCAGGGGGAGAGCACCTTTCCTAATACAAATTCTTGCAAAACCAGCTCTGAGGAGCAGCGTTGGCCAGAGCTCGAGCTGGAGGGAGCAGAATGTTCTGGAGAAGGGGCTGTCCTGTCCAGGAGTGATGGAGCATTGGCCTGCAGTGATCTGTGGAGTGAGCAAAAGCCTGGGCAGGGGAGGGTGAGGGTGCAGCCAGCTCCTGGCCTGCGCCACAGGGACTTGGGTTTGCAGTGACTCAGGGTGAGATTTCAATAAATAAAACCCAAAATGTGGCATGTGACAAAAGGTAGCACTGAAAAAGTGGGCGAAGAAGCAAGCACAGCTTGGCGTGTGTGCACACAAGGTAGAACCTGCCAGCGCTTTGCTTGGCTCTGGCTGTGCCTGCTGCTTCCTGGAGGGTGGAAAAGCGGCTATTTTGTGTGTCCTGAACCAAACTGGATTAAAACCAGGCAATGCAGAGGGTGAAACGAGCAGCCTAATCTGAACCTTGTTACACTGAGGTAGCCAGAGCATCCCAGGGGCATTTCATTTAGTTCTGCTTTTTGGTTTGCAAGGAGATAGGGCAAGATTTTCTGCTGATGCAGACTAGCAGGTTTTCTACCAAAGCAGTAAATTCCTTAACAGACCTGGCTTTCTGCTGGCTTATGAAGGTGAGAGAGAGTATGAGGAAAAGGAGTTCAGGGAAGAGAAAGATGAGAGGAGGGAAACACAGGAATGAGCAAGCATAAACTACTTTTCTGTTGGGTTTGATCTGCATCAAATGCCAGAAGTAGTAAACGTGAAAGAGCAGACTTCACTGCCAAGAGAGGCAGGGAGAGGGGGACACGGTCTCCCCTGCTGGGGTGCACTCTCAAGTTGGCAGATCTGCAGTGAAGGCTTCTCCCACTAAAATGTGAATTAGCTGAGTTCTTAGACACAGTTTGAGCATAGCTGCACGCCTGAGTGTTGCGGAGGTGCCCACAAAAATCGAGCAGAGGGGGTCGCAGTGCCTTGGCAGGGGAACTCGCTCCTCCACTGAGCTGCTGTTGTCCCCTGTGAGCACTTTCAGCCTGCAAAGTCAGGTGTAAACAGCCTCCCCGACTCGAAATAACAATATTTATCATTGCTTATTTGCTTTTGAGATGGTGAAAGGTATTTAAAGACTATGCTGAGAAGGCTGAAACGCCTCATGCCTGGATTACTTTGCTAAAAAAGCTGCACTCGTGAGCTGTGGGTGCCCTGGCGTGGCAGAGCGCTGGGTGCTGCAGGAAACTCGTGCTCCAGCGCACCGATAAAGTTCACTGATGGTCTTGGAGCCACAGCAGCATCTTGAGAACACCAAGGCGATGTGGGATGTTGCTCCTATCCCATCTCTTGCAAAATATTGCCTCTAAGTAGCAAAAAAAATAGAGGAGTCTGGGGAACTAAGCCCTAAAGTGTTTAATCCTTGGGTCAAACTTAGCAGCTAACAGGCAATGTCCAGCCTGTGCTGGTCAGGAGGAAAAAAATGCCTCCAACTGATTTCAGTGATTATCCCACCTGGTGAAGTGTAGTTAATTTGAGGGTCCAGGGGGTTTAGTCTTGCATCAAGTCCCATTTGGTGATTCTGCCAGCAGCAGAGGTGCTGGAAGAGGGAGCGAGCCCTTGTTTGGATGGTGCCCAGCTGGGAGCAGGGGCTGAGTGCTGGGGAAGGGAGAAGCAGGGCTGGGAAAGAATTGTGCCAGCAAAGGGTTGGGAAATTGTCCATTTTCTGCAAAAGTCCAACGCAACAGCATAAATACTGAGCAGGGGGGTCTGCACGAATGACCTGGGGCTTTTTGAAGCGAAGACGTGTCAACAGCATCGCTCCTGTGAAAAACACAGCTGTGACAGCAGGTCGGATGAAGAGTTGTGTACAAGGCACGAGGCTCCCCTTGTGCTTGACACTCACGAGTTACAGCTGAGATCTTACAGCTGATCTGTCTCCTGCGTGTCCACAGCGTCCTCGGAGGCCAAATACGGCTGTGGTCCTCTGGTTATTTCCTAACGTGGATGAGCAACGGTGCTGCAGGACTCTGACCTGTGAGAGAAACTGAAACGAAGTGGGGCTGAGCTTGTGCACGTTATGCAAATTAAAACATTAAATACCAAGCTAATGTTGCTGCTTTATCACTCAGTGCTTTTTGCCTGCTGGCCAGCAGTAATGGACCACCGGATGAGGTTATCTGCAACTGCATTTGTTGGTAGAGATGATCACCACTGCTCACAGAGCTGAGGTTTGGGGGTCCCACAGCACTGGAGAGAGGCAGCTGCGTGGAGTCTGAGCCACGATTCGGAGCGATGCCTGTGGCCATGTGGGAGCGTGCGGCCTGTATCCAATTAAAAATTGGAGCAGCTCTTCTGCATGGACGGAGGAAGAGCTTTTCTTCTCCCCGAGGGCCAGGACACTGCTGGGAAGGAGCGAGAGGCAGCCCAGCAGTGCAGCTTACCCCAACCTCTGCAAAGCCAGGGGCT